TCAAGGCCTAGCATTCCTTGAAGGAATGCATATCACCCGCCACCTTTCATCCCACAGTTTGACACTAAGATCATCTTCTGATGAGAAAGTTGGAGCTGCTTGGACTCCTGGAATGTGGCTCCTGGTTGCTATGGATGGCCCGCTGGCTGGGGTAGCTGCCAGGCTCCGGTGGGTGGTTGGCTGGGGGGTGTGCACTTGGCCATTGGCGGTGTGGTGGGGTGGTTGTGGGCGTGGCTTCTCTGCGGCGGGGGGCTGGCCGGGTGGCCTGGTGCGGCCCGGTACGGGCCTCGGCTATCTGCTCCTCTCCTCCCCTGAATGATTGGATCTACCCCCTGGGTTCGGGTGTGTGCTGCCTCCTGTAGGGGGTGGGTGCCTGTCGTGGACCTTGGGGGTACAGAGTGTGTATCGGGGGTATGAGTGGAATATGGCACCCTTTTGGTATGTCTTTGAATGAGTGGGTGTGAGGATGAGGGTGGGATTGTGTGGTTGTGTATGTGTATGCTTGGGTATTTGTCAGGCTGGGGCCTGGGCCGCCCCCCTGCTGGTTTTTCTGAGGGCCCACTGCTACTCGGCCCCACGGTGGGGTGTGCAGCTGGCCACCGGCATGCTGGGGGTTCCCGGGGTCTGGGGCTGGGCACTGGGGCATGTGCCGGCCTGGCCTGGTGACTACTTGCTGGGGCTCGGGGCCTCTGGCCCTGTCGGGCTTTGGCCTGGGGGGGGTGCCCTGGGAGCCCGGACCTTTGTGCCCTTGCCTGGATCTGCTCTGGTATGGCGGTGGCGGGTGCCGGTGGAGCCCATGAGTGTGTCGCTGCTGGCCCCGGGGGTTTACTGCGTGTGGTCACTGGGGGGACTCTCCCGGTTCTCCCCTATGGTCTGATCTGGGAAGGGGGTGGGTGGATCTTCCCGTGTGGGTGCCCCTGAGGACTCTGTGTTCGGGATCTCTCTCAGTTCCTTGGGTTCTGATCACCCGTATGTCTGCCTCGTGTCTTGGGGGTTGGGTCTTCGGTCCTCCACAGTCACTATTAAATATTTTGTACACACACATGTTCACAACCACTCACAAACAGTTGTTTTGATCCAGGGGTTTCTGACAGGCCCTGAGTGTGTATATATGTCTGTGTGTATATAACTACAGTATGCACGAATGTATGCATGTATGAGTGTATATCTATATATGTATGGGTATGTGTATATACAGTATGTACAGTATGCATGCCCTCCATGTATTTATCCATTTATTT